CTTTCCCTTATTAAAGTGATCAGTAAACCACTAGTATGAGCAATATCTGTGATTTTTAGCACCTGTAGAACTCAGTTAACTTTATGGATGTAGATATCTCAAAGTATTGTTTGTTCCTTCTTTAAAATTACAGTAGTTGGACGTGGTTCCATAGTGTAGCGGTTATCATGTCTGCTTTACATGCAGAACATCCTGGGTTCGTACCCCAGTGGAGCCACAGTCCATGGTCTATGGCCATGCCACCCTGAACAAGCCCAGTGTCAGATCTTGGAAGGTAAGCAGGATCGAGCCTGGTTAGTACTTGGATGGGAGACCACCTAGGAAGACCGAGTGCTGTAGGCATTTAAAAAAAAAAAAATTACAGTAGTTGTTAGCTTTGCTGTTAGATCTTATTGTTTACTATATTAATAAAGAAGCATGTAAATTGTGGCACAGATTTGTTTTTTGTTTTTGATAACTGCATTTCATTATAATTATCTCCTTTGATTTCCTGTGTATTTTATGCAACTAAATCCATAAGCATCCCCCAAATGCCAAGGGGTACATGAATCAAAGCACAAAGATGAAAAATCCCTAATCTAGAGACTTCTTGTGTGCTCCCTGCAGCCCTCTCTTGTACTTTTCTCTCCCTCCTGCTTGAGGATGTTGCCTCCACTTGTCTCCTTGACCCTTATTGTTTATAATCCTTATCTTGTTTTTTATGCTGTTCTTTAATACTGTATTTTTAAATATTTTCTATATAGCAAAACACATGGTTTAATATATACTTAGAGTGTAAAAGTTTATTAAAACAGATGAATGTAAAATGGAAAGGTAATTTCATCCCTAGCCCCAAATTCCACCTTCCTGGGGAAGCCTATGTACTTGTGTGCAGTTCCGAGAAATTTTATTTTTGTTCGTTTAGTTTTACGCCTACAGTGCCTGGTATTCCTAGGTGGTCTCCCATCCAAGTACTAACTAGGCCCAACCCTGCTTAGCTTCCGAGATCAGACGGGATCGGGCGCATTCAGGGTGGCATGGCCATAGATGAGAAATTTTATTTTTAATGCTACTCTCGTCTATGTTAGTTACAGCCCCTTTACTTCCTTCTATTTAATTCTTGCTTGTGGTTTTGAAGGCCTTGATAAGCTGTCACATTTAAAGCCACAGCCTTTGCTCCTCAAAACTATGTTCTAATTAAACTTTAGCACTCTTTACATTTGATTCTAAAAGATTTGCCTCACGTCTGTAACTACTCTTCTGTACCTGGGAGCTCCTGCCCGAAAAGGCAGAGATTGCATCTTAGACAAATGTGAATCCCTAGTTCATCAAAACTCAATGATAATGAATGCTAAAAAATGGTCTCTCGGTTCTGAGATTGGCACCCACTATAACTGATGCTCTAGGGTGTACAGATTGGTTCATGTATAACTGATGGCATATGATGAGAAAATATATTTTTTTTAAATCGTTGGGAAAAAGTCACTATTAATTGATCAAAACAAAACAGTATTATATTGAAATAATTTTTTTCATTTATAATTTCAATGTTAGAGAATAAAACGTATTTAATCAAGAGATGAAATGGATAGCTGAGGATTTTGGTGAAAACTTCTGAAAGCATATTCGAGGGTTTCTGATGTTAAGTCCAATAATGATTTTCAAATTTCATCTAGTTTTATGTCACTTTTTAGTTTTAATAAATTACTTTATTAATTTATAGTGTATCACTAGCATTTAACTTAATTTTACCACTATTCTGGCCCTTTAAAACATTCTCAGACAACTTTGAGTGATTTTTCAGAGTCATAATTGACTGATAGAAGTTGAGGAGCAGAGCAGCTATCCTGTTTCCTGGGTGTGGGGCTGAGGGATACACATGAGAAGAGGGGATGGAGCGGTTGAGATGTCATTTCTTCCTGATCACCACCAGGTGGCACTACTGGCCCAAAATGACTAGGTTTCTGCCCATAAGGAAGGGAAGGTTTTGAGAGCCCACCTACTGTGGGGGTAGTATATATGGGGGGTTGGTGGGACGGATAATAGTTTGTACCCTTTTCTCCTCTAGTCTAGAAATTTTTGTGAATTTGATGTTTATATGGCAGGGAATGAAAAACATGACGAATTTATATCTATTATTTTATCTGATAATTTTTATTTTTCTTTTTTTCTTTCTGTACCTATAGTTCCTTCAGAAACAGGTAACCTTTTTCTAACAGTCACTCTGTGTTCTTGCATCTTGCTTTTATAATGCTTTTTGTTTCCTACCATAAAGGATAATGGAAAATTAATGTTCTCTGACTTACTGCATTAGAAAAATCTGCATGCAAATCCTCACAATTGCAATTATAGCCAGTTGATCTACTGAATTTTGCAGAAATTCTCGCTACAACATTGTAGTATTTAATACCAACAATGTTTTTTAAAAATCCAAATACAGCTTGTAGTAAAATAGCATTTTCAGAATTTACAGTAGGAGATATTGGTAGCAGTATAGTGTGGAATATCCAGGTCTTGTTTCCTTCTAGCTCATAATACATTGTTGACATACAGTAGTTATGGCCAGGGTTTTCCTCAGCATCCTGACACTATAACCTCATTTTGTGCTGACTCTTCACTTCTGCACATCTTTTGTACATCTTTTCCTAAACTCTTTACTCATCTTTAAAAATTAAGGACTTTCTTTTGGGGAAATTTTAATTTAAGAAATATCATTTAACGGGAACACACTTTTGCATTTTCCTTTACCCCATTTCTGCCTTGAAAGAAAACCATAATGCTAAGTAACACATATGAGTAGTTAATTCTTTTTACAAGGTTAGTATTGTAAACAGAAGATATAAGGTTAAAAATATATTGAAAGAAAAGGGTGACTTAATAAATGGCCTTTTAATACAACCTAAATTGTGATTAGAGAGTGAAATTTGGTTCAGTATTAGATGATTGCTTTTTCACATTGGCTCCCATTTGGGGAGTCTTTCTGATTTTGTTTAGAATAACACCAATAAAAGTATAGTTAAGCTATTTTTCTTGTATATTTCAGTCTTTCAATTTCAGAACAGCTTGGCTCAGTCTCTAGTCTTTCCTAAATACTTTGACTTAGATACACACATATACCTTGCAGTGAGAAAAAGTCCATTTATGTGGCTCTGTAAAAAAAAAAAAAAATCTTGCTGCTTCGAGCTCTAGTTTTGGAAATAAACAGTGTTAACTTTAATGCTGGGTTTCCATCTAAGTATGTAGTTTATGCATTGAAATATATGCTTTTCAAAAACTAGCGTGATTAAAACATTAACACGATTTTAAATATAAATTAATAATCCTGCTGCTTCTTGCAGAAAACACGACTGGCTTGGAATTTTCCTATAGTATAGTTTTCTGTTGTAGTTTTATGAAAATTGGGGAATTTCGGCATCCTCACATAAGTTACTATTTGATGTTTTCTTGGAAGTACACATGGCAAAATTAATTTTTACCAAGAATTTCTGTAACTTTAAGATGATATAGAGTTGGACTTGACTCATGTGAGTGTCATCATGTAAAGCCAAGTTTTTAGGGCCGTCAGTGACTTCCAGCTGAAGACAGCATCAGTCTGTTAGAACCTCTTAGAAAGCTTTTCCAAAATGCAGTCATCTTCCAGTGACAACTCCACCCTACTCCCAGCTTAAGCCTGCTGCCCTGGGGATTCCACTCAGGATGCCTTGGCTCTTCTAATCGCTGGCAACAGGAGCCATACTCTTGGTAGAGCTAGCAGCTAAGCCCATTGTTGCAATTATGCTTTTATTTCCTAGTGTGTGTGTACACACCCATACACAGCTGTCTACCCTTAGTTTGGGATGAGAGGAGGTAAGAGCTAGCTAGGCTCATAGTGCCATCCTTAAATTTGCTGGCTCAGATTTCCTATTTTGACATCACCTTGCCCACTGGGGAGTTCATGGTAGTTATAGAAGCAGTACCAAATCAAAAATCCTTCTGGAATTGTCTCTTTTGAAGGAGACACAGCTGTTGATTCTTTCCTTCCTTTTCCTCCTTGGTTACAGCTTGCAGTAAGGGTGAGGGCACAATGAGTGGGAGCCAGTAATCTCCATCAGAGCCAGATCAACAGAATTGTCACTGGCTAGCCCTGGGCTGTATCATAATGTATGGGTCCAACCATTTTAATGCAAACCTTTATCTCTAAAGCATTTTCTAACGCCATCATTGCCCAAGTGGACCTTTATTTAGCTGCTTCCTAACTTTCAACTAGAGAAAATTTTCCTTTGCTGTATAGCAGTAATGAGATAGATAGTACCTGTCAGCCAAATATACTGATACCACGTTTCTTTCACAAGCTAGCTGGAGGTCCTCAGTAACATTATCAGAGGGGGAGAGGACAATAAGTGAGAAAGTTGATAGGAAGTCCAGATAGGCTTGCCACCTGAACCTTCTAGGGACAGGTAACACTGTAGATCCTGAACTTTGTAATAGAGCGACTATAGGGAAAATGAGTTCTTTGAAGAGATGGGTCACCTAGAATGGCTTTAATTACTAATGGCAAGAGTGTGTTAGGATACTGATGCCTGCATATAGACATGGATTTGGAAAGTTAAAAAAAATCATTTGTTTGGCTGCAGGAGCTCTGAGGGTATATCTAATTAACTAGAAACGAGATGTTGTTTTAGATGGATTGATAGAAATTTTCTGAAAGTTAGATTACTTCTGAAACACAAAGTAATTATTTTTAATATAATTTAATGGCTTGTGAATACATTAAAACATTTCATGTGGCTTAAAATTGTATGGGAAAACATACCTTCATTAATGATCTATGATGCCATTTACTGAAGGTTTTTTTGAAGGTTATAGTATGAGAAGCATTACACATCCAAAAGCATACTGTTAATAAATGTTACTCTTTCTATATCAGAGAATCACCTTTCATAATTTGTTAGAATACATCTTTGTTAATAATTTGTGTGTGTATAGTGTAGCCCATTGTCCAATTGGTCATATGATCTTTCAATCAAAACCACCCTTTGCAGATGCTTTTACTGACTCTGCTATCAGTGCTAAAGTGAATGGTGAACACAAAGAGAAGGACCTGGAGCCCTGGGATGCTGGTGAACTCACTACCAGTGAGGAACTGGAAGCTTTGGAAAATGATGTCGTAAGTAAAATCTTTGAATTAGTATCAGACTATGACCATGTGATGTGTGACATCCTTTCACTTGGTTTTAATTTAAGTATATTGTTGTTGTTGTGAGTATATAAAGCAGTAGTCTTAATGTATAATAGACATGTACACACACACACTCATAGTAATACAGAAAAATGTTTCTTTGGGATGCTTACGACTATTTCTGTGTTTTAAAGTAAGTCATAATAAGCAATTTACAAATTTAAATTGAAACCATGGGAAACTGGAAATGCCAGCATATCTTGCTTTGAATGCTCTGTAGAATAAGGCAGCCTAAGGCAAGTACTATCTTAATTGTCTGTTGACTCTACCTAAAGGTGAGGTCAAAGTAGGACTTTTAGACTTGTCTGAGGACGAGGTATTAATTATTAAGATATACAGTCAGGTAACATTAGAATTAAAGCAATAAATAAATTCCTTGGTCTTAAAATTAGAATCATTCTCCACAAAAATCTACTATTTCTAAAAGCCTCTCAGCATAATTTTTATTTTTCCCATAATATATCATTTATAAATCAAATGCTTAATAAGATTGTCTTTAGGGTTCTTTAAATTATGTTTCTAAACTGTAGAGATAGACAGTAAAGTATCTTGTCAAAAATGAGTGTTTAGATAGCAAAATTTGAATTAGATGAAGAATCTTTCACTGAATATTACAGAGAAGTTTTTGTAACAAATCTGTGTTTGATCTTTAAGTCAGTACTCAGTTTTAAATAAACTTTCAAACTTTAAAAAATCTTATAACCTAATGCAAAGGTTCTCAGGTTTGTGTAGCACGTAACCTGTGTGGAGGCTATGGAGAAGCATATTTTTATTGGTAGGTGGGTAAATTGATAGTTGCTTTCTAGAGAGCATTCTGGCAATATTTATCAAAATTTAAAATGTACATACACTTTGGTCTAGTAATTCTACCTCTGAGAATTTTTTTTTGCCGTACTATATCCATAAGACATGCAAATAATTGTGTATGAGAATGTGTTTTGCAGCAGTTTCTAATAGTGAAAAGTTGGAAACATCCTAGCTGTCCATCAGTAGGGTGTAAGTTAAATAGATTTATGGTACCATCATTCAATTGAAATACTGTATGTCCACAAAATAGGATGGTATTCTGATAATGGAAAGATATCCAAGACATAAGAGAAAGCAAGTTGCAGAGCAAGAAGATCCTATGTGAATTTTTTTAAAAAGAGGGCTGATTCTATTCTTATATATGCATAGAGAATGTCTGGATTGTGCCCAAGAAGTTAATAGTGGTTATGCACACTGGGATTAGAAGACGGTTTCTTTTTATTGGATGTCTTCCCGCACGGTTTAGACTTTTTACCTGGAGCATATACTACTTAAATAATTTTAAAGTCTCCATAGGTAACTGTAATTTCCTGCCCATGTGTTAGGCATAAGGATTTGCTTTAGTAGTGGAATTATATTATAGTTTTATCTGAAATAGTACAGAAGGACCCAAGATTGATAGGTGACCTTGGAGGCAAGTTTTGGTGTTGAAGTTGTCATCAGTATTGTTTGGATGATTCTGTGTCCTTTCTTCTGAGTTGGATAACAATTATGTACTGTATTTTGGCCCTTTCTACCAGTGTGAATCTTTCAAAGAGGAGTTGAAACAATAGACGTTAATATTTACCACGAAGATTCTTCCAGCTTCTGCCCCTGATTGGTTGATTTTTACATATTGAAGAATATAGTTTAGTTTCTGAGAGGGTAGTTTTCTCATAGAGTTGTAGAGTTATCTACACTGAGGTTACAGGTTAGGGCACCAAGGCTCAGAATTTCTTTGCCAAGGACTCACAGCTGCTAATAGCAAAGCGATTTCTAAAACTCAGCTGTTGAGACTTTGTTCAGTGATTGCCTATTCACTCTATCATGCTGCTTTCTCTTTGAGCATGCCTAGGAGGAAAGAGAGGATGGCAGGGGATCTAGTACCATCCTTCCACCTTAAAATAGTGATGCAGCAGGGAAAGCTGTGGGATGGCTTTGGCTTCTCTTTTCCTTTCCCCAAAACACTGGAAATATTTTTGGCTGTCAAAAAGTACCCCTTGTCCTGCACAGACCTTCAGTCAACTCAGGAAGGTTTCTGGTGAATACCTCATAAAAAGGTGGCTGTTAAGGAGTAGAGAAAGGAGAGAACATTGACCTAAAGGATCATATTTTATGAAGTAACTAAAATGTTCCAAACTTTTACTAATAACCTCTCAAATAATTGTTTCATATAGTTATTTAACCAACTTGTAGGGGCCAATGTGTGTAAGAAAAATTTTTCCTTAAAACATTTCCAAGGGGAATTTTTGCCTACTTTTTAAATTTGCTAGTATAATTGATATTGTTAATGTAGATATTGATTGTAATTGAATTAAAAAAGGCAAATGCTTTGTCATTTTGAAAAATGAGCTTCATTTTCTTCTAGTCTAATGGATGGGATCCCAACGATATGTTTCGATATAATGAAGAAAATTATGGTGTAGTGTCTACATATGATAGCAGTTTATCTTCATATACGTAAGTTCAAAATTTGCTTTTAGTGTTTGTCTTTGATTTTTGTCAACTTAAATTATGATGTTGAATAAACGTTTCTATTGAATTTTAAATTAAACGATTTTGTGAAAGCAATATCCTGTTACTACTTAGGCTGATAAATTCCCATTGCAACAGTGAATACATGTAGTTTACCTATATCTTAAATTTATGCTCTAAACAAATTTTATTTTTGTTTTGCTTTTAAGTTGTAAAAACTCTAAATTTTCAAGTGTAGAGGTTAAGAGGGAATAGTCAATTTAACCAGTTTTGGAAATGTTATATTCTTCTAGGGAAAAGGTAGCAATTCAAATTTTTATTTATAAATAAATAGATTAGTATAACTCTCTTACAGTTTTAACAGCATTTCAAATTCTAAACTCTTAAGTGTTGCTTGTGACAGATATTTAAATTTGACTTTAAAGCACTCACTTTGCTTTTTCTTTTCCTTGTGTTTCAGGGTGCCCTTGGAAAGGGATAATTCGGAAGAATTTTTAAAACGAGAAGCAAGAGCAAACCAGTTAGCAGAAGAAATCGAATCAAGTGCCCAGTACAAAGCCCGGGTGGCCCTAGAAAATGATGATAGGAGCGAAGAAGAAAAATACACAGCAGTTCAGAGAAATTCCAGTGAACGTGAGGGCCACAACATAAACACTAGGTATTTAAAGGAAATCATGATGCAGTATTTTGGATACACAACTCAAGGTCTGTGTGAGAAGGCGTATTATTATATTTCATCTTCCTTTAATGTAGCTTAGGTAGTGAATGCAAATGGAATTGGTTTAAGATTCTATTAGAGAAAAGATTATAGTAATCTTGGAAAATGTTTTTGGAGTGTTAGCTCTGTGGAGCCAACTGTTGGATATGCAGTGATGAGCAAGCCAAGATCTGGAAGAGCTCATTTAGATTAGAGTTGTGTTCAAAGTACTAGCAAAACCCAGAGTGAGGAGAAAGTAGCATAATCCGTAGGGTCAGAGGAGATGACGTTTTGTGCTAGGATAGTAACTCTGTGTTCTACTCTAAGAAAAGTAAGAGAGAATTCCTCACATAGTGAAAAGACATGAGAGAACCGGCCAGCAGAAGAAAAGGCTAGTTACGTCATATGTCTGGAATACAGGGTGCATGTTGAGGATGCAATGGTGGTAGCTGGTGATAGGAACTGAGTAGGAAAGGACTGTGTCACGTAAAAGTACCTTGTAGGCAGTGGATGGTATGAACAAACTCTGGGACGTTAAGAACTGGCTAAAACATGGAGGCTAGGTAGTGTTTAGAAATAGTTCAGTATGAGAACTTGGTAACCAGCTAGACCAGGGCTGGTGATAGAATGGTTAGAAAAACCAGAGGTGACCCTGAGGTTTATTTGAAATTAAATGGACTGATGGTTGTACTGTTATGGCAATTGAACACATGGAGCAAGTTTGAGGGGAGGTGCAGTGAGTCCATTTGTGCAATTGATTGCATTTGAGGGGCTCAAAAGTCTTTTATTTATTTATTCATAAATGTGTAGAGAAGCACCTGCTATATACCTGGGAGAGGAAGATAGACATTCTGTCTTCAAGATGCTCACAGCGTGGTCTGGTGATTTGAATTAAAGTGTTCAGTGGGAGATGTTGAGACTGGGACTGGCAGTGTGGATTTGGGATTTATCAGCTTTGCTGATATTGAAGCCATGAAAAACCAATGACTAGACAGAGAAAAGAGATCTCAGAGAAAACAAAGTAGAGAAAGTCAAGGAACAAGACAGTTGTGGGACGATATACCATGATTGGTAAAATCGGCCATAAAGAGGCCAGGTGGGATGAGAATGAATACACATCGGTTAAACTTTGTGCTTAGAAGGAGAATCTGAGGGAAAGGAAAGTCCAGAGGTTAGAATTCAGGGTAAGATGGAAGAAGAGAGGTGTCCGAGAGGGAGGCAGTTTGGGTTAGTGTTTAACTTTTTTATAACAAGCATTCATTCTCTTCTGCCCAAATTACTTTTAGATTTGTATCATGGGCCTGGTACCTGTTAGGATAAAATGATTTAGAGGATCTCTTATTTTCAGGGAAAATAAATATATTCCTCCTGGACAAAGAAATAGAGAAGTCATATCCTGGGGAAGTGGGAGACAGAATTCACCGCGTATGGGCCAGCCTGGATCGGGCTCCATGCCGTCAAGATCCACCTCTCACACTTCAGATTTCAACCCGAATTCTGGTTCAGACCAAAGAGTAGTTAATGGAGGCAAGTATTTTGACCAAATTTGTCAATGTCATTGATAAAATATATAGTTTTTAAAATATTTACAAGTTTACATAATTGATAAGAACATGCACACCTTTAATGATTTCTGTGGAGTAGTTTTCACTTCAAAATTGTTTAAATTTGCCTTTGTAGATATCAAATTAGTAAAATTAGTAAAAATTAGTATAAGTCATTGAATATATTTAGCATGATGTATTAAGATGAAGTGCTAAATTTAACCGAAGACATTCATTTGGCCAAAAAACACTCCACTTGTAAAGAAATTGGAAACTTTAGATAGGTTCTCAATTTTAAAAACACTGGATGATAACATTATTTACACATAGTTTATATGGAAAATCCTAATCTGTGAAACACTTAGTGGTTAATATATATTCATTTTCACTTACTGTTTGTTTTTATATTCTGCTTACTTCAAGAAAGGATTTGAGGTAACTTGTAATACAAGACATGATCGAGAGTCATGTGAAGAAAATGAAGAAAGAAATATGGTTTAAAAAAAAAAACCAGCTCTTAATGTAAGGGTGGAGTTTAGCTTAAGTAAAAGAAACTTGCATTTTTAGTAGGGAGATATTTTTCTGCTCTACCTTTAAATGTAGATTGAATTTGGCTCATAGGTCATGGATCTTCCATATAAGGCAGGTACACTAGATAACGGTACTGTAGACAGTATGGAAACATGACAATTAATAATAGAAATAGTATGTTACTAACTTGAGAAAAGTGGGCATTCAATTTTAGGTATTTAAGTTTGGAAAGTAAGAGAAATAGAGAACACTTAAGTTTCCAATTTCATTTGTTTTCGCTGAGTCTTTCTCCAGAATTCCTCTCCAAATGAACACTCTTGAGTATTTTCTGTACTTGGTATTGGGGGTGAAATTTCTTTGTGCACTGAGTAAAGAATTTTAGTTGTTCATAAACAGAATTTTCAAAGTAAAAAACCTAAAGTGGGCTGGGGAATATATGATACTCAAGGGTGTGGAACCCCATGGAGAGGAGACCTGGACTGTTTCCTCAGATTAAGGTAAGTGATAATGTTGTTTTAACATGTTAGCTGTATTTTGACCTGTGCATATCCATCAGTGTAAATTTATTTGGTGATGACTGCTCTCTAGTTGCAATGTGTGTTAAGCAGTCTATTAGATTAGTTAAATAAGTTCATCATCTCTTAGATAAATAAAAACTGCGTAATTATATAGAAGATCCCTTTTTTCCCCCTAATTTGGTAAGATTAAAATGTTTTTTGAAAGGGTAATGAATGTTAACCTTTGTCACTCCTGTGACTTTAGAAAATAGAAGTGATGTTTTATTTCTCCATATATGGACTTGCTTAATGAGATTTGAAACTGAACCTTACGTTCAAGTATAAACTAGATCAAAATCACAATTGGTTATGGGAAACCAGCATTTTTAATTGGATATAATTGCTGCTGCTTATTTTTATTATCTTTCAAAAGCTGAAACTAATGTAAATAATCTTACTCCTGAGTTTTGTGAATTATTGTGTGAAATTATCTAGTATATGTTATATTCCTTTTAACTATTGATAACTGAGAAACAGTTATAGAAGCAGGATTAATAGGCAAAGTCTTAACTGTCTTCAGTAGTATGTGTAGATCCTAATTAACCCTTTGGGAACGTGTATTCATTTAAACAGACTTAATTTTAAGGAGGTTAAAGTAAAATGTGAACTTATGTCAGTTTAAGTTATGCTAAAACTTAACACAAATCAAATGACTGTCCTCAAAGGGTTAAAATGTACAAGAAATCATTTTTGTCATTTTACTTTTTTTTTCTGTTTACTTTTTTCCCTCATTTTTTTCTTTAGTTTTTATACTTTCCTTCATATCATTTGTTCTGTCAGGTGTTCCCTGGCCATCGCCTTGCCCATCTCCTTCCTCTCGCCCACCTTCTCGCTACCAGTCAGGTCCCAACTCTCTTCCACCTCGGGCAGCCACCCCTACACGGCCGCCCTCCAGGCCCCCCTCGCGGCCATCCAGACCCCCGTCTCACCCCTCTGCTCATGGTTCTCCAGCTCCTGTCTCTACTATGCCTAAACGCATGTCTTCAGAAGGTACAATACCACAATTTGTTCATGTTTTTGTTTGTCTTTGTTTAACTCCTATGTGAGTTTATAATTACAAAATAGTTTCCTCTTCATTATTTGATAACCTATAATTTCTGTGTTTTAACTTTAGTTTATTAAAACTATTTCTATTAACCTTTTGTTCATTAGAGAGAAATTTAATAAATGCTGTGTGAAGCTATGAACTATCCTGAATTTATAAGAATGGGGGTTTATCTCCTTTTGGTAATAATGCTCCTTTATGGCCCCAGAAGGTCTGCCTCTGCCCCGGGGTCCTCTCCCTCCCTGTTTACACTGTATACAGTGCTTAATGGTAAACAGTGATCTTTCTTCACCCAATCTTGGGCTTATTGTAGAACCTATCATTTTACAGCTCCTTGGCCAAGGTACTAGTGAACCTACCTATTGGCCGTAGGCAGGAATGGTGGTTCAGGGGTCTTTTTTGAGAGGGACATTCCATGTAGCTTCTTAGATTACAATACAGAGTTTGGTTTTATGTTTGGGGAAGTCAAAAAATTAGCTTTGCAGTATTTTATAGTGAAAGTCTGCTTTAATGTAGGTGAAGTCCTTAATCTAAGATAAAATTGTTAATAAAAACCATGAATGAATTTTAATCTTTAAGGGTTTTTTTGTCAAAAAAAAAAAA